ATTCAAATATTCCTAATTTCAAAATTTATAAACCAAAACTTATTAAAAACCAAACATGCCTAATTAAAGAGTGTACTGTACGTTATGATATTATCACTATGGTCCTAGCACAGAAACATTTTGTATTTGCCGTTATTAATTGCCAATCATCCCTTCAAAAAATTTCAATGTTTAGAGAAGATAAATTGATTGACGAACAAACAAGAAGAGAAAATATTGAAAAGTACAAGTAATTAAAGAGTGTACTGTAAATATTTCAGGGGCCCCTCTCTTCTCAGAACTCTTTTTGGACACCGTCCCTTCCTTCTCCTTTTTGGACACTGCCAAAGCTCTCTCTCCCACCATTTTCTCTCTCATCCTTATAAGAATATGAAATTAAAATTTATGAATCGGGAACTCTATCATCTTCAGGCTTTTACTTCTAACTTCACTTTTGCAATTCAACTTCTTTGCACTCAGGTTCATGGGTTTCTCCTTCTTCCTCTATTTGCTTTCGTTTGAATTTGCATATTGGTAGACAATGAAGTCGAAAAGGGTTTTTTTTTTCTCTATTTGAATTTTAGCTATCATTTTTGCGTGGCGGATCATCTTGGTTTTGGAACGGTTTTATTCTTTTGAGTGTTGTCCTACCGCCATTTGTTGTTTTTCTAGAGAATGGGGAGACAGAGTTGGTATTCCAGAATCCAGAAGATTGCTTTGGATTTTATTTTGTTGTCTGCTGTAGTTTTCTGTTCCGCCCCGTAGTTTAAACCTTTTAATCACTTCCAAGTTTCATTTCGAATTTTGGCCTTCAGTTTTCTTTTCTTCATCTGAACATGGGGCAAAACTCTAATGGCTTGGACTGGCTTATGAATGTCTTCAAGAAAATGGAGGACAGATGCTTGGAGATGTGTGATGTCTTGGAGAAGGTAAAACTATTAATGTCTTGTTCATACAGTTTCACTATTCCCCAAATTTTTGGCTAGTACTCGCGCTCTTAAAAATTGTTAAACTCAACCTCACATTCTTAAGCAGGAAGTCTTGAAATATGTAGAAGGCCAGCTAAATTCGGTTGATATTAATGAAGATCACTTCCAACAGCCACGTTTGGATGTTGGAGAAGATCAGTCTCCTGAGAAGGCGTATTGTGCAAATCAAAATGCATCTTCCTCGGTCGCTTTTGGGAATGTTCCAGGTGATTCTGATTGAAATTTGTGAAGTGGGTTTTGCTCTTGGTTTTCTGCATCGACAGTTTGGTTAAAGCTTTTTCCTTATTTTGGCTCTTTTTTGTGGTTCACAGAACCCTATCCCACTAATAGCATTATTCTTATTTAAAAGGATATTACATTGCAAATAAAGAAAAAAGAATCCAAATCCTTAAAAGGATGGGAGATGTGGATGTTTGATAGTTTAATTTGGGCTCAAGTAGCAACAACCACACCGTCTAATTCTTTTGCAATTAGAATGTGACATTTTCAGTGAAAAGATGCAATTATTGTGGAGAGTTTTCTCTCCTGGAACGGACAGATGTAGACAATCATGTAGGTTCTAATTCAAAAAACATATGCAATCATATTATCTACATTCTTAAGTAGTGAAAAATTTACATACCAGATTAGACAATCTTTGGATTTCTCGAAAAAATCAGGATTTCAGATGCTTCTATGATAATATTTAATTCTTGGTTGTCGTTTCCTGTAAAGAAAAGCAGATACAGGCACAGATGTAAAAACCTGCAAATGGACCTCCATCAGCTTTGGAAAAGGAAAAAGAGCAATAATATGTACTTTTGTTGTTACATCATTCATGTAATTGAATCTTACTATTACAGGGGAGCATCTTGTCAAGACAGAAGATGGAAAAACAATTCAAGCATCTAAAAAACAGAATCATCTCATTATTGAACCAAACCATTTCTCAGCTAACCAAAAAGTATGTGGAGATCACGAGGTATTATCATTACCATCTAAGTATGCATGCAAATGACAAAAATTTCTGAAATTTCCTGGTGCTTGGAATTAACGCACGGTATTCCAGAATGAAACTGTTTCTGCCAAATTAGAAATCAAACTATTTGTCTATAGACCTTAAAGAACGCTTAAATTTATGCTCTCTACTAGCGCATGGAACCAACTTATTTTTCTTGGCCTCTTTGACATTCTTTCAGATTGAAAACAAGAATGCTAAAGCAAATATATCATGGCCATCAAGGAAGCAGAGCCAAAAACCAAATGCAATTACCGATGAAATACTTAAGTGTTCTCCATCCACCAGACAAAATGATGAATTCCCCGACTGGGAGATTGTTTAGATCTATGGAATAAATGGCATCAGTAAGCTAATTTTAGTATTGCTTTCCTTCTACAAGCAGAGGAAGTGAACACAAGGCAACTAAATTCATGTGATGCTCCCAATAATAATCCCACAAGGATTTTTCCTGTAATGCTATGCTAGTCATTTTGTAGCTTTCAGTGTTTTTCAATTTTCTCTGCATACTAGTAATCTCAAGATTGAAGAGGATTTAGTTTTCTTCTATTATCAAAAAGAAAATAATTAAATTCTATAACCCAGCATGAAAAGGAACTTCTAACTTCTAGGTCATTTCTATCCGAGCCACACAACTGGCCTTCCATGTACCTAATGAATACCACTGCAACCATCCTTTTCTTTCCCTACAATGTCTTCGGCCTTGTCAGACAGCACAATGGTTAACATTCTCAACGTCAAAATGTCAATAACAATAATGTTTTAACACGTAAAACTGCAGAGTAGCTCAAGCAAAAACTATATTTGAGAGAAACTGATATAATTCAGATTTCACACCAAGAAAATGAATGACAAGAAGGCCTAATATTAGATTAGCAACAAACCTCAGGTTTCAGAAGATATACATATTTCAGTTCAGGGAAATTTTCAAATGAACAATGCGAAAGCATCAATCACATAAGCTAGTCCGGTCCAGTCATTTCAATTTAACATTGATAATTAACAGCCTTTCAAATGAACCAATGACAGAGCATCATATAATATAATGAGCTATCTTGACCAGTCATTCGAAGAGTGAATTATACAACATTGCCTAATTTACCTAGAAATGGTTTAAGCGAGAAATACTTAAGCACCCTTTCCACTGCTTGGGTTGGATTTCGTGCAGAGGACCTTCCTATCCTTGGCACGTCTGCACTTTAGGACAGCTCTACCATTGGTGGTTCGCATTCGTCTGCGAAAACCATGAGTCCAAGCTAAGGATTTACGTGATCTGTTTTGTTTCGTCTGACATATTGCAGCCTTGCCAGCCCTCACCACTAAGCTCCGACGCTTCCCTTGCCGACCCCAATCTTAGAGCTCCAATCCAAACACAAAGATGAGCCTGCAAATGTGTGCATTCCCATAAAATAAATATTACAAAATCTTGATGGATAGAACTAAGTATCGTAAGAGAAGCTCCGCAATGTTGCAGTAGAGGGTGCATGTTCTTTTATATTCCCCTCAACATGTGAAACGCAATGGATTATTAGTAATATAAAAAATGGAGATATGCAGCCACCAGCAACTTTTTCACTAACAATTCGATTACTGGAAATCACGGAAAGAAAAATAAGAGAGTAGTCATAACAAATCAAATGTAAGCAGAAATCGACCACCGACAAATTATGCCATTACCAACCGAGAAATTATTAAATCAAACGAGCTTGAATGTATAGAATTCGAAATGCAAGGGCCTAGAAAATGATAAACGCACACGACAGCAAATAAATACTTCAGTGAACTGCTGTAGACTCCATCACATTGGCAAATGAGCAAGCAATAATGGGAAATCATAAAGTTACTCGAATGATACAGAAATTTGAGAGTATAAAGTCCTCACCTGGAAAAGATGAAGAGCACGAAAGGGAGGAAGATGTAAGAAATGAAGAATGGAGCAGTCCAGAACGGGCGGCAGTGTAGTTGGCGGTATTAAGAGATACGGAGCAGCAACCCGTAGAAGCGGCGGAGAATACAAGAGAAGCTGAGGGAACGCGTATGGGCATGCCTCCGTTGGATACTCATGGGGACGCTAACACTGATATGGCTGCCATTGTTAGACTGTTAGTTCCCTCCTTTCAGCTAATCTTGGAAGATGGAGCCTTATCCAGATATGGTTGAACTTAATCGGGCCGGGTTGCTAGATCCAGGAATCCCTTTATAAGGGCCAGCGTCCGAACAAGCCCAATTCAAGATATGGACTCTTGGAAGCCCATCATTCATTTGCCTCTTTCTAATTTTGATCTCACACTGATGGATATTTAGCTCTAGCTCTGATACTATTTATAACAATCCAAGTCTACCATTAACAGATATCGTCTGCTTTAGCTCGTTGCGTATCGTCGTCAGCCTCACTGTTTGCCTACTAGAGAGAGATTACTACACATTTATAAGAAATGTTTTGTTCCATTATTCAACCGATGTGGGATTTCTACCTCTTTCGCGTGTGTGAAATAGAAGTAGCAACATTTGTTCAGGTAACCACAAAATATTCAACAATTATTCATGTAACCACAAATATTCAACAACTATTCACGTAACCACAAATGTGACGAAGACTTTATGAAGTAGAGATAAAAAGTTGAACCCCTTTTCTAAATTCAACTATAATAATTTAATAGAACAATAATACAAAAATCATCATTAATGTAGAAACTGATTCACAAACTTTAAAATAAATAATATAAAAAGAAAAGCAAAATCATTTATGAAATGAAAGCTTGTCAATTGCTTGTGACCTGACCAGTTGTGTGTGTTTTTTTTGTGGAAGGTTGATTTGGTTTCAGCGTGCTGGTTAGTACATCAAGGGCCAGCAATCTGTTGTACTTCCCTTAATCAATCCAGCCAACATAATTGAATTCCCAGCTCATGGCATAAAATTTTTAAGGATTAAAATAATAATCAGGGAAGGTCGTCTCCGCTGGTTCTCTCGTTTGTCTCTATATACACCCACTTGCTTCTGTCTATTTGTATTCCCCAAAGCTCTCCCTTCTTTTCAGTCAGAGCCCAAAATCTGGGATGGGTCTTCCATTCATCGCTCTGGCCCTCCTACTTTTACAACTTCTGATTCTCTTTTCACTACAAACTGCAAGAGCTGAGGATCTCTACAACATAAGCAATGTGGGAAGTAGGAAGCAGGAGAGGGCGTGCAATTTGTTTCAAGGAAGATGGGTTTTTGATCCTTCTTTACCTCTTTATGAATCTTCAAGCTGTCCCTTCATAGACCCTGAGTTTAACTGCCAAAAGTATGGCAGACCAGATCTATCCTACCTCAACTACATTTGGAAACCAGACTTGTGTGATCTTCCAAGGTACTACTTTTCTCATTCCTTTTTCTTCCATTTTAGACATCCATGCTTTCCTTCTTCACTATGCGCCATTGTTATGCAAATCTCAAGCTTTCTTCTCTGAGAAAGTGTGTTCATTTCTTTGAAGGTTTGACGGGTTGGAGCTTCTGAGGCGGTGGAGAGGGAAGAAGATAATGTTTGTAGGCGACTCACTGAGTCTCAACATGTGGCAGTCCTTAACATGTATGATTCTAGCGTCGGCGCCAAAAGCCAAAACCTCCATAGTCAGGCGGGACTCACTCTCTACTGTGATCTTCCAGGCGAGTTCTTTCCCCATTTTCTTTTTCTCAAATTTCCTGATTCAAAATCTCCCGCTTCACAGTCTACTAATTGTCTGCTGCCTTTGTTCACTTTTTCAAAAGCTGTTTTTTGGGTTATGCTGTGCTTGGTATCCTGAAAAAGAACAAAACAGATAATATAAGAAAACCATACGCCTAATAATAAACTAATAAACGCCAATAATAACTTTCTATGTTCTATAATTAATAATATACAAAACCAATGAAGAAGAGGAATGATATGGTGTGTGCAGGACTATGGAGTAAGCGTGCTTCTTCACAGAACGCCCTACCTTGTTGACGTAGTCAAAGAGAGGGTTGGAAGAGTACTAAAGCTTGATTCCATTGAAGGAGGCAGTGTGTGGAAGGGAATGGATGTGCTCATATTCAACTCCTGGCATTGGTGGACGCACACTGGGAGATCCCAGCCGTATGATCAATCTCTTTTTTCATGATCATGCTGATATGGTAAAAATCTGACGGTTGTGAGTGTTGTGGATCAGGTGGGATTATGTGCAAGTAGGAACTACAGTAAAGAAAGATATGAACCGTCTAGAGGCATTCTATCAAGGGTTGACCACCTGGGCAAGATGGGTGGAAATGAACGTTGATCCCAGTAAAACAAGAGTCATTTTCCAGGGAATCTCCCCCACTCATTATGAGTAAGTAACAATCAGCGGCTGTGATTCCTTCTTCTATCAAATTAAATTCTTAATGCTTTCCAGCATTTTGGCAAGCTCAGAACATGTACAGACATTTCTGTCGATGGAGAAGGCATCATTGCCACGTATCCGTGTCGGATAGTGTGTGTGACATTAATAATTGTGATGTCCCACGTTGGTTGGGGAGGAGAACAAAAACACCCTTTATAAGGGTGTGGAAACCTTCTCCTAGGAGACGCGTTTCAAAGCCTTGAAGGGAAGCCGAAAAGGGAAAGCCCAAAGAGGACAATATCTGCTAGCGGTGGTCTAGGCTGTTACAAATGGTATCAGAACCAGACACTGGACGATATGCCAGCTTTCTCGCCCTTCCCCGAAGGGGGTAGACATGAGGCGATATGCTAACAAGGATGCTGGCCCCAAAGGGGGTGGATTTGGTGGGGGTCCCACATCAATTAGAGAAAGTAACAAGTATCAGCGAGGACGCTGGGCCTCGAAGAGGGGTGTGGATTGTGATGTCCCACATTGGTTGGGGAGGAGAACAAAAATACCCTTTATAAGGGTGTGGAAGCCTTCACCTAGGAGAAAGGGTGTGAAAGCCTTCCCCTAAGAGACGCGTTTTAAAGCCTTGAGGGGAAAGTCCAAAGAAACAATATCAGCTTGCGGTGGTCTGGGCCGTTACAATAATCGATAAAACCTTATCATGAAATTCAGAGTATATATATTTGCTATTGTGATTGTCTTATAGGTAGTAGGTAGCAATAAATTTCGTCAAACTGGGTAGAGCAGTTCAAGGACAAAAAACTTATTTTAATCGACTTTTCATCTGCCGACGAAGAACAAGTTGTGTAGCCATTTAATGCAATACTATTGGGCAGTAATTTTCAGACCAGAAAACTAGATTTAGAGCTCAGAGTTTAAGAATATTACTTTGTTTCTACGTTACCAGGGGAAAGGATTGGAACCAACCAAGGAGGAGTTGCAATGGAGAAAGCGTACCTCTCTCGGGGTCACTGTATCCAGCAGGGACGCCACCCGCCGCAGAAATTGTGAAGAGAGTGCTGAGTAGAATGAGAACCCCAGTTTACTTGCTAGACATCACAACGTTGTCGCAACTGCGGAAAGATTCACATCCCTCTATTTACAGCGGCGAGCACGCAGGAACAGATTGCAGCCACTGGTGCCTTCCCGGTTTGCCCGACACTTGGAACCAGCTTCTCTATGCAGCTTTCACCATGTGAAGGTCGATCAAGTTCTTTTCGTCTCTACAATTCCTCAAAGGGAGTGTTAGCAGATAAAACTTCCTTCATTTCATTAACCACCTTAACGGCAATTCAAAGCAAGAAATGTAATGGCAACAAAGCAATTGTATAAAGTCATTGATGATTCTAGTTGTTGCAGTTTCACAAAAATAGTTTCAAATCCATAAGGAAAGAATGAGTTTCCAACAATATGTTGCAGAATGTTGAAATCAAGAAAATCTAAAATTGAGCGCACAATCAAAGACGAATTAACTATGTGGTCTCGCAATATCCCCAAGGAAACTGAAACAACGATGCATACATCAAGCTGAGATAACTGTATAGTTACAATCGTAGATGACTAAGCACCTAGCGAATACATGGTCTAGAACTGTTCAGCTGTCTCCGAGGAGGGGTGAATAATTCTCAAGGTTTACGAATATGAGGCAACAAAAATTAGTAGCCAACATAAACAGCAGCATTTACTATGTAACAGTCATCATTTTTGTCTCCCATTTCTTCCACATGCACACCGCTGGAGCATATTAAGCCACCATCGACGACCTCAACATTCATAATCTTTCCACTGCAGTAAATCAAATGATGCAAGATTCAATACTCTTTTGAACAGGATAGTTTGAAGGCGTTCATTATCATAACTGGTTCCAAAAGTACTAAATCGAAGTAGCATACCAACAGGAAAGCAAGCACTAGGCTAGTTAATTTTGATTTGATAATAAAATATGAAAATCAGAACAGAAAAAAAGACTTTGAACCAAATTAACGAAGTGTGTTAACTAAACTAATGATCAACTTCTCCTTGGTTGTACACCCCACTCACTCTGGAGGTTGCAGCACAAGTAGCTGAGAAGAACTAGGAAAACGCTCGAAGGATATTGTGGTGGTTAGGGTAAAGCCACGGTAAATAACTCGAGACTTAAAATCCAGACGACAAAGAAAGGAGCATCAAGCATGATAGATTATCAGGGCAAGATGAAGTAACTGGACATAAATAACGCCTCTTTCAATGGAGAGATCAATCAGAAGGATATATAGACCCAGAAATATTTATTGATGTATGCAAACCAAACAACGCCTTGTAAAGCTCAAACAAGCTCCAAGAAACTAGCTCGAAAAGTTAAGAACGATTCTGCCTAGTCAGGCTCTAATAACTCTAAATCAAGCACTTCCATACTTGTGTTCACAGGTATTAAACTTTTCTATATTCTTAATTGTGCTGACAACATATAAATCACATGAACTAACAAAAAGAAGGATAAAAGATTTTGTTCAAACTTCTTACCAGGAAAGATGCTGATGAATGTAATTGCTTTTTGGTAATGGAAGTAAGAAGAGATGCATCTCAAATTAACCTATAATGAGGTGCAAGCTTGTCCCCCTCAAGTTTTGATAAGCAAGGAATCAGAAATTGTAAAAGACGGTTGAACACTAATGAGCCTGACCTAATACTGAAGCTGCAGCTGATAGCGGCTGCATCTTATAAAAAAAAAAAAAGGTGTAGCTGTTAACAAGAAAAAGTACTCTACTCGTCTGTTAGGGAAATGTTTCCACAACTTATAAGGAATGTTTCGTTCTCCTCTCCACTTGATGTGGGATCTCAAAATCCACCTCCTTGGGGGTCCAGCGTCCTCGTAGGCACACCGCTCGGTGTCTAGCTTTGATATCATTTGTAACAGCTTAAGTCCACCACTAGCAGATATTGTCCTCTTTGGGCTTTCCATTTCGGACTTTCCCTCAAGATTTTTAAAATGCATCTGTTAAGGAGAGGTTTCCACACCTCATAAGGAATGCTTCGTTCTCCTCTCCGACCGATGTGGGATCTCACAAACTTAAAATAGTTGAGCACTCACTATGGGAAGACGGACTTGACTTTTTCAATATCCAAGGATTGTTGAAGAGAGTGTGGAACTCCAAGCTTGATCTGTAGTTTCATCTCTCCAAATGTGACTCCAGGAATTGAACCTGCATAACACCTCGTCATTAGTCCTAATTGTAGTATTAACATAATGAAAGCAGTAACAATTTTCAACATAAACTTAAGTTGCAGAAGCCAGAAGTAACCATAAAAATGAGATTCTGAATGCTAAAATAAACCCAGAACAGTGATTAATACACGATTATTCTACCCAAATAAAAACGCGATACATTATATACCTGTATGAAGGTAATTTATAGTAGGTAGAGTGCACTGCTTCAAGCATTATCAACAAAAATAAGCAGAAAGAACAGGAACAGCCTATTAGGGAAAGACTCCGTGACTTAAAATCTAAGATAAATTTAAGCTACCAAGATGGAGGAGCTAAATCCAGAAGCTCATATCTCCTGTCAAATATGATTAATTATGCAGATAACAAATAGCGCGAGGATATAAAACCCACTGGAACATACCTCTACGGAATGCTGGAATCGAATTGGAAGATATGGCATCCCTGCAGGCTCGCATTGCAGCCGCCGTGATATCTTGGCTGTGACAAAAGAGAAATCACTCGTGAATCTCATTGTTTTCCAACAGAAAACGAGCTTGTAATTGTATCCTGAAATTAACACTTGTAAATAAGAAAAGAGCTGAAAATTCACCCATGTTGATCGTAGCCAACACCCATCTCGACGAATAAGAGCTTCATCGGAGGTGTGCTGCCAACAGGCGCAGATTTTCCACCCTGCTCGACCTCCATTGACGACGCAGCAGTAACCTTGACAAGGCGAGAAATTGGAGGGCGTGTAGGAGAGCAAATCAAATGCGCAGATGATGAAGAATGTTGATTAGAAAGAGGGTAAGAACGAAACCTAAGATCAGTTACCCGCGGGAATTGTAGATTTAGGACTCTGGAGCCTGTCATCTGTGTTGCTAAATGGCTAGAAGAAACTGCCAATCCAATCCATGTCCATATTTGGAAAGGGAATGGGACTGTGAAGGTAATTAAGTCTTTCTTTTTTTTTTTTCTTCATAGATTCATTTTCTAAATCACCAGCCTACCGAAACTAAATATTTTTATAAGAGCGGAAAAATCTCTCATTAATACATGCGTTATAGAACCGTAAAGAGGACGAAGAAATGTAATGAATTAAAACGGATAATATCTACTTGCGATAAGCTTGTACGATTACAAATGATATTAAAACAGGGCATTGGGCATTGATCCAACGCGGACAATATCTGCTAACGGTAGATTTGAGTTGTTTATAAATGGTAACAAAATCCGACAATGCGCAGTGCTCCATCCCGGACAATATCTGATAGTGATAAGCTTGGGCTGACAATATCTACTAGTGGTAGGCTCTAACATTGGTAACGGTTACAAATGGTATCAAAACTCAACATTGGGCAAAGTTGTAAAAATAGCCCTTTGTTTTGACCTTTTTTGTTACTTTAAAAAAACTATGATTACATTATCTAAAAGTTAAAAGAGTCCAAAAATAATTACTAGGTTGTTTTCAAATGGGTCCTTTTGTCCAATACGAAAACGTAAAGGAGCCCTTTTTACAATAACCCTATTTATAAGGAGGAAAAGGTTGCAAGAGTTCATTTCCTTACTTTCCAATATGATATCGCCTCAGTTCATTTCCTTTCAAATGAATAAATTGGAATGCAATCCTAAGATAGCCGCTGCCATTAATATTCACAGACATGATTGCAATCTATCTATACAACCCAAAAACCAGAGACCTCTGAAGCTGAGATGCTGCAGTTTAATAAGTTGTAGCTCTGCTACACCCCACGTACTTAATGTTGCTGGTTTTGGCATTCTACATGACATGAACTTGCCTTATCTCTCATCTCTTGAAACGCCTTCATCGTTTCTACATCAAACCCTCCTGCAAACTGCACATAACAAGTTGAAGAACTTTACCACACGATCATGGAGGTCCAATAACCACTTATGTCAATAAGAGGGGTCCCCTCAACATTACCTGATGCACACGGAAGGCAAATCTAACGCCCTGGACAATCAGCTCTTCTTCTTCAGGTCCACCACCACCGACTGTTTCAAGCTCTGCGGATACCCTTTTCATGTACTTCAATGCTAATTTTATACAGACAAGCTTGATCTGTGGCACATTAATTGAAGCACACAATTGACTCGGATCAGAAACTTATCAACCGAGTAACTATTACTTCGCGAACATATTAAACAACACCCAACTTGGCGCCTAGGGGACCATGCCATATTATGAAGACAAAGCGATTTGTCCTTTTTAAATAATGCATTGCTTGAGAGATGGGATTCTGGAGCTTTCAAGGGTTAAATCGAGTTATGAAGTGAATGAATATATATACTAACAAACAAATCCCAGTGTGATCATTCGGAAGAAAGTTATAAAAAAGAAACGAATTTGCATACAGCAAAACGTGCAAAATCTGATTCTCTTGTTAGCCCATAATTTAAAAAGAACTGTAAAGCAGGCAAGAAGATGTAGTTTAGAAATCTGGGAATTCCCATGTGCGCGTGCAGGCAAGGGGCAGAGGAAAATAAGGCAGAATCAAAACATCCTTTTTGTCATCTTCTTAACCATTCTCCATTGTTGTGTTACATTGTTATGTAGACTTTGTCAGACTTATTTCCCTTGTCTCTCCAGAACGGATCCATTAAAAGGGACCACCTGGGAGACACCTAAATGGAACAACTTAATTATTTTAATAATGGTTGCAGTTCAAGTCAAGGAAATTATTATTAAATCAGCAGTCATCTCTTCTTGGATACCTTCCACCACACGCCGAACTGGCCTAGAATTTAGCTATATTTGTTAAATTGGACAGAGATGGAACTTACCTGACTCACAATTCCAGTATCAAGCATCCACTCCACAGGAATTTGAAATGCTTTGTATCTCTTCGTTGCAGATTCACGCAATCTAGACAAATTGTATATACCATGCTCCAACCTGATGCACCAAGAACAGAAACAAAGAAATGAAGCTAAAAACAAAGGACAAAATCGATTAAATGTAGGCTTTGGTAAAATCTCGAATACTTTTCAAGCAAAGCTTGCATCTTCTTGAGAGCCGAAGCGCAGGGCTGGCGGGCATCACCACGGAACGAAGAGGCTTCGGATTCCAGCTTCTTAAGATCGCAATATCCAAATGCAGCCTCACGCAGAGCGTCGGCCTTTTGCTCTGGCCATTGAAAGTGTTTAAGCACGGCTCTTTCATCTACCAGGTATGAGAGCTCATCATCCAACCATTTGACAAATGGAACAACGTCCTCAATGTCCGTAAATGAAGCATTTTCAACTTCTTTTATCAAGAACCTTATGAAATCCCCTTGAGTCTCTACATCCGTCTTTATCTGCAAGTAACATGGGAGATTAATCATGAAAATCATAATTAAATCAAAATCCCATGAGATTAATAATTAAAGTAACTTTTCCTTGATGTTGGCTTTGACATTAAAGCAGTCAGTTCATCATCAAGAGGTTGATATTTTCTCAAAATCAATCTTTATGTGGCTTCAAAGAAAATATAATCTCTATGATTACCTTTTATTATTATTTTCCTGAAAAAACAAGAGATGGAAGAGGAAGGGTAAATTTGAATTAATCAATTTCCCGAAGGCCACGAATTGAGTAAACATTTCAACTTGAAATGACAAAAATGCAAAAATCTTGAGGGAAAGAGAGAGAAAAGAAAGGATATGCAAAAAGACAGTAATATTCCGATTTTGACAATAAAAATCCAAAGAAAACCAATAGGGGCACCTAAAAAAAACAATTGAAAACCAGTCAACTCCCACTGCCAAAAAGCTCCGCCTAGTGACATTATTGTAAATTACATAACTGAGAAAATTTAAGAGACAGAGTGTACATAACCGGTGACTTACAGCGAGTAAGTGAGCTGACCGGTTCTCGATCTCTCCGATCATGTCACGAGCTTTGGCGGTCGACGGCGGGTCCATGACGCCGGAGCCGAGATCTCGCCGTGAATCTCTCCGCATTAACGAATGATAAAACTCAACAACCTCCGGAATTCGCCGTACCTTCGCCGGCATCGGCGTCTTACCTTTGGGAGGCGGCGGAGGGGGAGGGGGAGGCGGTGCCGACTTCGAAGGCGGCTGCATTTGCTTGGTTGGGACAGGGGGTGGGGCTGGGATCGCTTTCTCTACATCACCAGAAGAGACAGTTGATGAGGAGGAGGAAGTAGTGGCAAAAGAATAGGGAGATGAAGAAGGTTTCGGAGGTTTTGGAACCCTAGGTATTCGCGATTTTACGTTACAGAGAGTGGATTCTGCGGGTTCTTCCGAGTTACATCGTGAGTGTCTCGGTCCCTCAGTTACAACTTCGTCATTCTTTGCCTCTGGAGGTTCAACCTTATGATTGTGTTGGTTAACAACAGCATCCGAACATTTGGTCGCTCTTTTCAAATTCCTGATTAGGTTAGACTTTTCAGAGACCTCCATTAATCCCTGAAACCTCTGCGACGCCGAAAGTTCGTCGTTCTCTAAAATAAGCTCCATTCTACTTCGATCCAACGCCATTTTCTTCAGCTCCGTGATTTCACCTTCCATTGCCTTTATTCTCTCTTGTCCCTCTCTCCTCTGCTCCTCAAAGCTCTGTGAAACTTCCTCCATTTCAACTCTCAATCGCTCATTCTCCGCCTCCAAGAACAGTATTCGCTTAGACGCTCTTTCAACCTCTGCATCTTTCATAGAGATCTCATTCTCAAGCATAGGAACAATGGCGACAGATTCCTTTAACAGCTTGTGCTCCAATAGGTCAGTCTTCAATCGTGCCTCTCTGTCACGCAACTCCTCGACCACACGGAGAAGCTCCGTCACGTCAGGCGGTCGAGGCTGAACCTGAGCAGAAGAGCGAGGGAAATATACACCAAACGAGCGGGAGAAGACTGTTTTCTGAGAAACCTTACCAGAGCTTGGAGAAGCCTGAGCTGGCGTCGACGGCTTCGGTGTGCTTTCCGCCTTTCTACTCGCCGGAGACTTCTGCAGCCCCATTGCGACCTTCACCTTCCCAGCTACCATGTCTAAGCTCTCACTCTTTCTCTCTTTCTCTCTCCCTCTGCTTCAGGGCAAGATAGACCAAGTTTTTATTGTTTTATCTTAAATTTTGTATTTTGCATCCATTAACTCTTTTTTTATATATAAATTATTAAAATATTTTATTGTCAAAATTAAATGCAAACAAAAGGTAAATACTAATTTTAAATTTTATTGTAAATACAAAATTAAATTACGAAATGAGACTTAAAATGGTATTTAAACAAAAAAAAAAACACTTATTATTATTTTATAATAAATCATTTAAAATTAATGAATATGTCAAAAAGTATTTACTTCGATGTCAAAATAGTATATAAAAATATGTTTGGTTTATGGATTCCAACCATTAATTTTATATTTTAAAAAAAGTTTATTAATGAACTGTCTAAAAAGTCAATGAAACGTATATTATAAAAATCCAATAAATTTGAAAAAATTGCGACTCAAGCACATTTATTAAGACATGAGAAACATCAAACCTCCAACAATATTGAACTAGAAAGAAAGAGGAAGTTTGTTGATAGAGCTCGAAATATAGACCTAAATTCCTCGAGTTTTTCAAAATCGTTCACTTTTACCGTCAATCTCACAATTTTAAAATGTTCCCGTTAGAAAATTTTTTTGACTCTTATAAATAATGTTTCGTTCCTCTCTCCAATCGATGTGGAGAAAAGAACAAAACATTTCTTATAAGTGTGTTGAAATTTCTCTCTAACAGACGCCTTAAAACTACTAGACCATGACGACAATACGTAATGGGCCAAAGTATACAGTACTTTTACAATTGTTCTCGTTCAAACATTCAAAAGCTATCCCCCACACACATTTAAACCCATAGTCTATGATTAAATAAACAAGGAAAGAACACTCCTTTCCTGTTTTTCATGGGCTTTTTGTTC